TTTAAAGGGCCCCAAAATATTTTGTTGGCTCCATATATGGTTTATCCTATATTTATTTATAAGTGTAGTTTGGCCCATATTTATTAAAATAAAAATATAATTTTAATGATTTTTTCTTAATTTTTTTGCCCTAATTTTGTTTCATTAAATTGTTTTGTTTATAATTTTAATAATTATTTGTGCAAGTAAATTTTTTTGTGACTACAGACAAATAAAAAAGTTGTAACTTATCGTTTTATCCGTGAACCCTTTTTTTTCAATGTAAGAGGGGCCCCAATTTTCAAAATTTGCCTTAGGCCCCCTAAATCTCAGGGCGGGCCCTGGGCGGATCGGATTCATGTAGATGCGAGATAGTAGATCCATCATCCAAATCGTATTTACGAATTTTAAAATATTTCATCCGTATTCATCCATCAAAAAATACGCATCCGCCCAAAATCAATTAGGTTGGGTCAGTTTAATCGGGTTGGACAGATTGGACGAATCTATGATCATCCTTACCAATTAGAATACCTTGCTCTGGCATGAGCTAGCCACTAATGTGCCGAATTATTTTTTGGCCGTTTGTTTCCACTTATTTATCACACGAATACTACAAATCCACCCTTATCAATTTAGAAATTACTTATAAATTAATTTCCACCACATTTTACATGGACCTCACATAGATTCCATACTAAAAAAATTATTTTCCATCATATAATCCCAAATTTTTCTCAATAGATAAGAGTGGTTCTCTAGATTTTTACTTATCACGCAGCTATGGTGTTTGGGGGAGAAACATTTTTCTAACGGTGGCTGGGGGTGCTCACAGATCATTTTTCTGTTAGATAATGTCTCAATGGGACTACATAATTAAATGTGGTGTTATCATTTATAAGAAGCCTACCATTTAAGTGATTCAATTTAGTTAATAGGCTTAAGGGTATATGTGTTATGGCCCTAATGTGTAGATACTAGTTGTATAATTTCTATTTCTATGAGGGGCAGAAATAGAAATTAAAACATATTGGTTAAAGTTGGTTTTCATTACCTTTCAGTTTTAAACCAATAATGGTTAATTTATTGGTTTTCATTACCTTTCAGTTATGAAAACCAATTACAACCTTTAAAAGGTTATGGTCCCTATTCCTTCATAAGGTGAAAAGATAAGAACACTGTTTTGTTTTTCTAAATCCTCTCAAGGAGAAACATAAGGCACCAAAGGGGAAAGGATTAGAAGGCAATAACATAGTCAATATCAAAGGTTTTATTGACAATCAGACGCCTCCGTTTAACCGTTCATCGATCCTTCATAAGGTGAAAAGATAAGAACACTGTTTTGTTTTTCTAAATCCTCTCAAGGAGAAACATAAGGCACCAAAGGGGAAAGGATTAGAAGGCAATAACATAGTCAATATCAAAGGTTTTATTGACAATCAGACGCTTCCGTTTAACCGTTCATCGATAGATTCAGGTATGTCGTTTTAGTCTTGTTTTCTTGATGATATATATGGTAGATGATCCGAAACATGAAGTTTCATGTTCTGAAATTTATGTTAACAATTCACAATTGAAAGAAAAATGGTGGGTAATGTCCTTTTTAAATTCTAATTGTGCATGCTTAGTGTCTTATCTTCAGTCTGTTAGAACACAGTTAAAGAAAAGTAGTTGTTAGGTAGCAGACAACTAGTGTAAAAACTTTCCAAATCCTCTATTATATGAACATGAATCCAGTGGGAAAAAAATATCGGCCAAGTAGTATTGACAACTAGTGTAAAAAAATAGAACTTCTATATTAAAGATTCAAATTCTGTGTTGACAGTATTAAAGATTCAAAATTCTGTATTTTCCTCACATCTCCACCTCCAAAACAGTATCGGCTAAAACAGTATCCTTATCCGAAGGGGTATTTCTTGTGTAAATACTGTTTTGGGTTGAATCTGTATTTACAAATTCTGTCAACACCGAATTTGAATCTTGAGTGAATTGAAGGTCACATTTACACAACACAGAATTTGAATCTTGAGTGAATCTAGTTTAAATACAATATTTACATAATGGGGTATTTCTTCTGTATTTTCCTCACATCTCCTTATCCGAAGTTAAATACTGTTTTGACAGAATCTTGTGTAAATTCACGTACAAATTTTGTTTTAAAGATTCAACCCAAAACAGTGTTGATTTTTTGTCTTGAAGAGCAAATCACACAAGGGGAAACAAAAATACCAGTGAAGACTCCTCCTCTTCAACTATGGATGACACAACGGCACCAGCTTGCAGCACCCACAGCAGCAACAGGACCTAGATCGCTCTTCTCACTGTGCCGCTAGGTTACGAACGATACATGCTTCTCTCTCTCTAATCTCTGTTCTGTCTTTCTTTTTCTTTTTTTATTGTTTTGCCAAATAAAATGATGTTTAGCTGTGGGACTTTGGCTGTGGGACTTCATTCATGCACACGCCCACAGAGGATAAAAAACAACATTCGGGTCACTCTCGAGTTGGAGCGAGTGGTATCAAATTGGTAAAATGAGTCATTTTTTACTCAAATTTGGTGAAAAATCTGAGTAACCGTTGGAGATGCTCTAATAGAGCACTAATGACATGACAATGAACAAAAAAAAATAAAATAAAAACATACTAAGACCAAAGCATCACATCATTGTGGGTGAAACCCACTGTCAACTCATTAAAGCTACCTTTAGAGCTCAAAAATTACGGCTCCAAAACATTTTTCTAGTTTTAGTTTGTTTGGGTTTTCCAATGTTGAGGACTGTCAAGCCGACCAACACATAGTTCAAAAAAATTGAGCCTACCTCAAACCGATTTTTTATATTTATTTAGATCCATCCCATAGACCGGCCCCCCACCCCAACTCAATACGTGGATCAGATTTAGTCGAGTGACGTCTCATTCGTTATCAGTCTAAATTTAGGCCAAGTTTGGGATGTTCTAAAAAAGTCAAAAAGTCAAAAAGTTACTCAAAAAGTTAAAAAGTTAACACTATTCACCAAAAGTCAACAATTACGGCTGCACAACTCCCAATTCAAATTTTTCCCTATAAATCAATTTTTACAATTTTTTATTACACATTTTTCAATAAAAAGTCAAAAAATTAACCCAAACATCCATATTTTCAACCTCAATTTTTTAGTTCAAAAAGACAAAAAGTGCACTTATTTAGTCTTCCCAAACTTGGCCTTATGCAGTTTAAAAAAAATTAATTTGCATTTAGTGGATGGAAGCTATGCAAATTAATGAGTAAGCAGTTTGAGTTTTATTTTTTTGGATTTTCTTTTTGAATTACTTTCCAGTAATTCTTTAATATTTTAAGCTTAAAATTTTTTATTGTTCATTTTTTATAATAAAAATAAAAACTTAACTTTCATATTTCATAAATAACAAATATAATTACTAAATAAAAGTTATTTTTTCAACACACAGCATAAAAAGTATAATTTCATTTTCTTAGAAGTATTGACAGATTGGATTTAGTCGAGCGGCCTCTCATTCGCCATCCGTCTGAACTTAAGCAAATTGAGAAAAATGCATTTGTATCCTGTTCGCTCGAACCATTAAAACCGTTCATTATATGGTGGATTGGTTCGGGTCATTTGATTTTGACAAATCGGGTGGATACTTATCCACCCCTCCAACCCAAGAGTAAAAATTCAATATAATGGTGATATTCCTAATATGATATCATCAACGCATAATAAAACTATATGATATAGAAGGTAAACTTTAATTTTCTATATTGGGCTGGGCTTGAACAAGGAAGGGCAATGTCCAGTAGTTCCGTTCAAGGGAGAAATTTAGGTCTTTAGCTGGGATTGTAATGCCTCATGGGCTTACACTGATAAAGAGCACTTTCAAGGCGAATTCTATTTACACTCAAAAAAATTATTAAGTATATTTAATTAAAATTTTAATTTTTATTATATCTTAATGTAAATTTATTAATAAAGACAATACAAATTAAACTTTAAAATAAATTTTTTTTTTCTCATGTTACACCCTAATAACATGTACCTATTCTTCATCTTTTTTTCTAAGTTTTAATTTCTTTCTCTTCTTTTTCTTCTTCACTCCAAAACTCTAAACCACCACATCAAAACTTACCATTATCATCAACATAATTGTTTCTTATCCTTGCGAATAGAAGAAAGTTTGAACAAAATCAAACAATGAATGAAAATAATAATAAAAACTATTTTTTGAAATAACTCATCAAAAAAGAGATAAGTATTTACATAAATATCAAAATATACTATTGTTAATGCTATTTGGCATGGTGCTTATTTGTTATTTGGGCATATTGTGCAGAGGCCTTTGCAAAGAACTGCTCTTTCCGCATAGTGCTCATGGTTTGGTCCGAATGGCGGGGTGTGGTGTTAGGTCATCTATTTAGTTTGAAAATGTCCCACCTGCTTTGGTGTCTCATGTGTTTGATGAAGCTTTATAGTTTGGCTTTCAGTTTAGACAATCAAAAAAATGAAAAAAATAAATAAAAATACAATTCTTGACTTTTGTATTTTTTTTTTTTAAGTAAAAACAAATATTTAGTCTATTTAACGTTATTACTGTTCAGACTTTAGATCTGAACAAAATCAACATGTTCGGATTTGAAAGTACGAACCAAACAATATTGTTCGATATTGTAAGTCCAAACATAATGACTTTGTTTTTATTTGAATGTACCTTGAAAAATAATTTTAAAAAAAATTATAAAATGCACTAAGAATAATATAAAACTTATATTGAGAAATTGAGAATACTTAATAATTTTTAGTGTAAATAGAATCTCCCACTTTCAAGTTTCAAACCAATTAAAATAGTGAACTATTGACCAACATTCGATTACGAAATGATTCATAAGCAAAAAAATGCAGAGATGTAACTTGTAAGTTAGCGCAAGATGGGTGAGGCAACCAACACACAACCCTGCATGGGTCATCAGTCAACATTCAGCTCACCCAAAAGCAACCCTTTTTTATATTCATCATTTCTATTTTCTTGGAAACATTTTCCCACTCTCCAAACACCAAGAAAAATCCCTCATTGCTTCCTCCCACAAGAAAAAGCCAAGTCAAGCCCAAGGCTGAACTGTCGAAGCCTATTCATTACCACCACCCCTTGGCTAAATAGCTAACTTGTACAGAAACATCAAGTTTGGTAGTGTTAGCTCATCTTCTCATTTCCATCTTCTTTTTTTCCACCTCTCTCACATACCACTTTCTCTCTCACTATTAGACACACTTTTATCTCTCTTTCTTTCTCCCTCTCTCCATCTTTCTCGAGATGGAATTGCCGGTAAAGTTGCCTGTTTCGGGTGGCAAAAAACCTCCATACAAAATAGAAACCAAAAACTTGTCCTACACATTTTGCAGCCCATACAATGAATTCAATTGGGCTCTTCGGCGTTGCAAGACGGCGAAGAGGTCCCCTAGTTTCATATTAAAAGATGTGAATTTCGAAGCCAGGCCCGGGGAGATCACCGCCATTGTGGGTCCTAGTGGGGCTGGAAAAACAACACTGCTAGAAATTGTCGCGGGAAAGGTATCGTCGCCAAGTAAAGTGTCCGGTCAGGTACTCGTAAACCACGGTCCCATCGATGCAAAATGTTTTCAGAGAATTTCAGGCTATGTCACTCAAGAAGATGCTCTATTTCCTTTACTAACTGTTGAAGAAACACTAATGTATAGTGCTCTTTTGAGGCTACAGGGTGGGAAAACAGAGGCGGCGAGCAGGGTCAGAGTTCTGATGAATGATCTTGGATTGGATATGGTGGCGGGTTCACGGGTAGGTGAAGGGTCGAACCATGGTGTTTCGGGAGGGGAAAGGAGGCGGGTTTCAATTGGAGTTGAGTTAGTCCATGATCCTCCTGTTGTTTTTATTGATGAACCAACTTCAGGGTTGGATTCAAATTCAGCTCTTCAAGTTGTGACACTGCTCAAATCAATGGTTGTGAATCAAGGTAAAACCATTGTTGTAACAGTCCATCAACCTGGTTTTCGAATCCTCGAGCTGTTCAATAGAGTTGTTCTTCTTTCAAATGGGGTTGTGATTCACAATGGATCAATAAAACTTCTTGAAGATACACTAAACATTGTCGGCTATCGTGTGCCTAAACACATCAACGTGCTCGAATTTGCCATTGATGTCACAGGGAAAATGATCATACAAACAGAAATTCTCAACAGCCAATTATTTCTCAATGATCACGAAGAAGCTAGAGAAAAAGAACACAAAGACGACATCAAACAAAACCTCCTGTCCTACCCGAACTCTCGGTTTGAAGAAGTTTTCATACTCGGAGAAAGATTCTGCAAAAATGTATTTAGGACCAAACAACTTTTCGCCACCAGAGTGATACAAGCCGTGGTGGCTGGATTAGTACTCGGGACCATATTCTTGAATGTTGGCAACAATCAAGACCATGTCGATTTACAAACCCGAATTGGGTTTTTTGCGTTCAGCCTCACTTTCTTGCTCTCCTCGACAACCGAAGGCCTGCCGATATTCCTGCAAGAGAGACGAATTCTAATGAGAGAGACATCAAGGGGGGCATACAGAGTATCTTCTTATATCATAGCAAACACCCTAGTGTTCCTCCCTTTTCTCCTCATGGTTGGTCTTCTCTACAGCACCACAGTTTACTGGCTCGTGGGTTTAAGGCGGGAAATCGATGCTTTTCTCTACTTTTCTCTGCTGGTTTGGATGGTTGTCTTGATGTCAAACTCTTTCACAGCATGTTTCAGTGCTTTGGTGCCAAATTTCATCATGGGGAACTCGGTGATCGCTGGGTTGATGGGATCTTTTTTTCTGTTTTCCGGGTATTTCATATCGAAGGAAAACATACCTAATTACTGGATTTTCATGCACTATTTGAGTCTTTTCAAGTACCCATTTGAGTGTTTTATGATCAATGAGTATGGAGGAGAGGAAGGAAGAAGAAGATGTGTGCAGAGTGCAAATGGCGTCTGTCAGTTATATGCAGATGGTTTCTTACGACAGCAGGGTGTGAAGGAGTCACAGAAATGGAGCAATTTAGGTGTCATGTTGGGTTTCATCTTAGGTTACAGAGTGTTCTGTTTTCTGATTTTGTGGTACAGATGTTGCAGAACTGGAAAATAGATGGTTTTGTGTTGTTTTTGTTTTTTTGTTTTTGATTGGACAAGCTACATGATTAAAAGCAATGCTCAATTAGTACACATTAATGTGTGTTTAGTACACAATAATGTGTGTTTGGAAAAGGAAAGATTGGACAAGCTTTATGATTATTTAGAAAAATTTAGAAATTGTTTATTCATGTTGTGTGTAAGATGACTTCAATCAGTTTATGCTCCATTTTTTGGGTGCTTTGTTTCTGTTCTTTGCTTGGGATTATATTAAAACTTATTATTTTATTTTCAGTTTTGGAGGAAAGAGTTCTTGAAAATTCAGAAAACAACTTCCCATGTTTCTGGAAAAGATGTTTTGGTTGTGTTTTAGTTTTCTACTTTCGTTTCCCAGAAAAATTGTCTGGCAAACTTTTTCAGATTTTTTTTTTAAACAACAAACTTTTTAAGAAATAACAAAAAATTATTTTCGATTTTTCTTTGCACACAAATGATACCAATGGTTGTCTTCAAACTTTTCATTGTTTTGTTTCAGGAAAGCAAGAAAAAAAAACAAAAAAACAAAAATGGACAAAACAAAACCAGAACCAAACAGTACAGGAATGAAACATACACTGCCCAAGATAAAGAAACAAGTTAAAAACATAGGTACACCACATAACATAACCTGAAATGCAGTGAGACAAAAAAACAATATGTTGAACTTGTGTCTACTTCCAAGAAAACAAACTACTGTCAATGTCAAACCTTTGGTCTTTTAGGGTATGACGATACCATAAAAGATGCATACTGATATATGACTAGGAAAGGGGTAAATGCAAGAATTTTTTTTTTGATATTAATCGTAATTTCACGTACGGTACTGCATCCAACATGATAGTTTTCACGGGTAGTAAATCAACGAACAATTACAATGAATTCAGACAGAAAAAGAAAAGGGTTTCACGGGTAGTAAATCAACGAACAATTACAATGAATTCAGACAGAAAAAGAAAAGAAAAGAAATGATACAAAAATTTCATTTCATCCAATATATACTGTTCCATGGTGCATCAATATCCAACTGCATGATGGCAAATATCTGTGTAAAAACTCATTTGATCTTTAACATCTGATATAATTTAATGGTGATTCTGGAACAGTCGATCCTAGTAGATTATAACTTTGTACATCCAGATCCAGAGAGTATTTGGACAACTACGGACAATGAATTTGAATTGCTCCTTTCTACTTATGCCAACTCCGTCAAGTTAAAATAAACCACTCTGGAGAATGGAAGGCACAACCATGAATGTTCGGAAAAAGAGCGAGAGGAACTCATCTCATGAAATTCTTTGATCTCATACAACCAATGGCTGCAGCGAAGCTCCCCATTCCAGATGATATATATGCAATACCCTAGTCTCTGTGAAAATGCAGAGAAACTATTCACTTTTGACGGACCATGGAAATGAAAACTTACAAGCATGAATGGGACATCTCTTACCATGTGCCAAGTCAATTACTTCTTTCATCTATTGCTGTGAAAGTCATGGTGGCATATGAAGTGCTCGTCTCTGATGATGATGAGTTATCATGCTTTTTGGAGTCAGCAGACAATGTATCTGTGGTATCCTTTTGCATTTTGAGCCCCATTAACTCAGAGATTAGACCTGGTTTTAATATCTCTTTGTCATCAACATCCATCTCACCTGTTAGCATCTTCACCACTTTGGACATGGATGGCCGGAGCTTTGGGAAGCCTTGGGTGCAAAGAAGACCAATCTTCAAGAATTTGCAAGCCTCATCGATATCAAGGTCTTCTTCCAATGAGGTGTCCACCAACCTTGCCACCTCGCCCTTCTCGTACAGTTTCCATACCTGCAAGATGTTTATGCAATTTAGTAAAGTTTTCAGACAAATTAACGCTGTGTTTGTTTTAGTAGAAAACGCATTATACATATTTGGTTGTGAGTGCTAGAGATTGTGATAGTGATAGTGTTGGTGTGGTGCTGGTGGCGGCGGCGGCGGTAGAGTGGCAGCAGTAGTGATGGTGGTAGATGGTAAGAATTTAGTCAGAAGACCATTTTCCACCTTTCAAAAATTAAAAAATGTTTTTTACCTTTGAAGAAAAATTCTGTCCAAATAAGCTTGTTTTCCATTGACCACGATAAATGTTTCCGGCTGACTTATGTTTTTCGTTGTACCAAACGCTATTAAAAAAAATTCTAAAAAACAAAGCATTAAAAAAATAAATTACAGTTGCAGACCACAGTGAAGGAAGTATCCTTCTAATATCCATCCGAGTACAGAATGCAATTAGCTAGGAGAGAGTGAAGATTTCGTCATATCAATAGAGATTCCAGCCATTTTTTCCTAGGAAAGTGACTAATTAATTCTCTTTTTTCTTTCTTTTTTTTTTAGATAGGGGAATGCAATTAGCCTTTTTTTTATTAAAAAAAAAAAAAGACTAATTATTATCCATCCAAGTAAAGAATGCATTTTTTTTAAAAAAAAAAAAAAGACTAATTATTATCCATCCAAGTAAAGAATGCATTTTTTTTAAATGGCTAGAGTCTCTAATTAACCTCTGATCTATAGTGCATCACGTTAATACCTAAGTGAAAGATACAATAAAATCTAGAGGTCCGCCATTGAAAAAAATGTGAATTCAAACTCTCCATACCCTTTCAAGAAGATATTGCTCTTCAGCACATAACCGCTTGTTTGTGTTGCACCTTCCACTAACAATTTCCAAGAGGAGAACACCAAAACTGTAAATGTCAGCTTTCCTTGTCAATTGGCCTCGTATTGCATACTCCGGGGCCAAGTAACCTCTACATGAAACAAATGAAATACCAATTATGTATTGTCAACCATCAAAAAATGTCTTGAGAAAGCCATAATGTATCGAGTGTTTTAATTGCAAAATATGACAGGCTACACAACACCTTTGAAAATTAAACCTTAAACTGACGAGCATGTATTAATCAGTTTGAAAATGAATGAGTCTGTCCCTTCCCTAGTCTTGTTTTTGCCAAGCCTGATTCTTTATGGTATGGACGTCTTTGATTGAATGGAGACAGATATATAGAAAGTGTGAAGTGAGGGTTCTTTCTAGGTAGCCAGTCTTTTCTTAACTCAACCCCAGAAATGCCCAAAGACTCCCACGCATTTCTTGGTCGGACCAACCTAACCGGTGATTTCCGACCAGTATCATAATCTAAGGTACAGCCATAACTATATGTAACTTAAGATAAATATACAAACTTAAATAAAGATGACTATAAGTTGGGAAAGTGACCAACACGGAGATGGTTAAGATAACCCAATTAGTTCAATTCTTCAAGTCATATACCTCTATATGGAACAATTAAGCTATGTTTGGATTATAGATTAGTGGAGAAAATAATGGAGATAAGGAAAAGGAAAAGAAAAGGAGATAATAAAGTGAAGAAGCTAAATTTATATCTTGGTTTCTTTTTATATTTCCCTATTATTTTCCTTTCCCTTGGTAAAATCTTTCAGACTTGGTTCACCCTGCCTTCATTCCATGAACCATTGAGATGCTATTAAATCTATCTGAACACCACTTCACAAAAATGCTTTTGAAACCATTGCAGCAATCAACACGATTTAAGTTGGATTCTCACAATCAAATGAAACATGAAAAATCATACCACTCATGCTGAAAGTTTAGTAAAATTAGTTTCATGACTGAAAATAGTAGAATTGGAATTTATGAACTCACAATGTTCCAGCAACACGTGTGCTAATATGAGTTAGGCTGGGTGCAAAAAGCTTTGCTAGACCAAAATCTGAGATCTTTGGTGTGAGGTCTTTGTCAAGGAGAACATTGCTTGCTTTAATGTCTCTATGAACAATATGCGGTTGAACTTCCTCATGAAGGAATGCAAGGCCCCGTGCAACTCCAATGCAAATTTTTGTCCGCGTGTTCCAGTTAAACTGAATGCCACTGCGGCGTCCACCTAAAAGTGCATGTTAACGAATTCGTTATTTAGACAAAAAAATAATTATGCATCAATATGGGGGTGAAAAAAAAATTGATTTACCAAGAAGGGTTTGAGCCAAGCTATTATTTTCTAGATAGCCATACACCAAGATTCTATGGCTACCTTCCACGCAACAACCATGCAACTTAACCAAGTTTTCATGCTCTATATCTGATATCACAGTTATCTCTGTCAAAAATTCCCGCACCCCTTGCCTTGACTCGGCAGAAAGCACCTTTATAGCGGCCACAGTGCCATCTTTGAGACTTCCCTGACCATTAGAACATGGTTAGTTTAGTTGCATATAAAGTTAGACAATAATCCCACAAAATAAATATATGGGTGTGAAAAAAAAATCACAAAATATGCAGTTACCTTGTAGACAGAACCAAAACCACCCTCCCCAATTTTGTTAGTTGGTCTAAAATTCTCTGTGGCAATGCTCAATTCTTTGTAAGTGTATAGCTTAACATTCTGGACACCTGAAACCTCTGAGTCATATTGAACCTTGTTAGAAGCATTTACACACGGACAAAGTATATGGCAGTATCTGAGCTGCCAAGATATTATGGTATGTTCGTTTAGGCGGACATGGCCTTGAGATTGGATTAATAATCTAACAAAATACATAATTCCCCGTTTGGCTAAGCAAATTGGGATCCGGATTAATAGTCCACTTGGACATGATATCCCCATATAAGGGACTACTGAATCCCCCCGGGGGAATACAAAATAGAGGACTAAACCATCTCCAATCCTTCATCAAATTTTTCATAAAATTTAAATTTGATGAAAAACTGATAAAAAATGTGCTTCAATGTTGACATCAAACCAATATCAAATTTAGGATATCTCAGATCTTTCATCGATGCCTGAGCCTTTCATCAAATTACTATAGATAACTGTTAGCTTTACAGGTATGCATGAGCACCGGATGACCGGCCGGATGTCTGACCGGTTGTCCCCCCGGTCAACCACCTCCTTGAAAAATTTGTTTCGGGATTTTGGAAAATTTACACTAGCCGGTCGACCAGCCGAACATCTCCCCAATCGTCCTCCCAGTCGACCGGTGGTTTGATGAAATCCTAGATTACTCCATTGAAACACGCTATATCAGGTGAAGCTTTTACTCAAATTTGATGAAAAAAAAGAGCAAACATTGGAGATGCTTTAAGGAGAGGTTCGAATTATTAACTAAATTACAAAATTTATAGGATTTTGTCGGTCTCTCCCAATAATATTGGGTCAATCCAAACATGGGATATGATACACAACCCAAAGGGTAATAATCCCATGATTAACAGTCCTAAGAATTCTAATCCAGTATAATCCAGTCCGTCCGAACAAATATTGCCTATGTGTACATGAATAAATGTGTGCTTGTGCTCCAAAGAATGTGACAGGCAGCCAGACACATAAACTTGCTTCAAGTAGGGTTCTAGACTTTTTTTTACATAATGTTCCAAGATTCTGTTCTAGAACAATACATTCCAGCTCCATTTGGATAAGTGTATTTGAAATGAAGGGATTTGAGGCTAAGCTTTATAAAATTGTAGGAAGGTTAATTATTAGAAGTAGATTGATAGTTCTGAAGTAAAGGACGAGATATATAAGAGAGATGTATTTTGGATGTACAACTAGAATCTTTCATGGAAGGATTTCAGACAACCATGTTGTCCAAGTTATTTAAGTCCATTGATCTAAAACTCTCAAATCTATTCTTGAAATCTAGATATTAAAAAAAGTAAATAAAAAAAAAATACTACATCGAATTAAAGGTCATAGTTATTGAATGAGTGATGCCAAATCCATAAATCCAAATGCAACCTCAGATTAAAGGATGTCTAGAAATTTACCTTCTTCAATGTCTATTGTTTGCTTTGATGGGGAGGCTACCTTCTTTCTGAAACAGAAAGAAAAACAAGTCATGACACCGGTCTGTGTATGTCGTCAGTACCTAAGTTACATCAAAGCCCTTCCCTGCGAAATCAAACCATTAAACATGAGCATGTTATCACATGAATTCACAGATTAAGTGCAGATTAACCTTTCAAGAGATTTTATATTTTAAACTCCATTTAAAAAGAAATAAATAAATGAATTTCATTAGTTGCATAACAGTACCATAATACTAGTTGCTAAATAAAATAATAATAGTTATAACAACTTAACAAGTTGTATAGCAGGGTGCGGGGATGTCACCGGAAAATTCAAAGGTCCCGGAATCTTCGAATGTCCACCGGAAATTTCGAATCTTCTAGAAATAATAAGAGGCTTAGATTCTTCAACGGTTGCAACTTAAAAACACAATAGCAAAGAGATAATAAGAGATTGGGTGAAGAAGAAGACAAAGTAGTTATAGAGAAAATAACGGCAAGGCTCTTCCATGGATCTCCCACTTTCACTTTCAAGGTAGATAATGGAGGAGGGAAATTAGTTTTTTCCCAAAAATTGTCTCTCCAAAATTCATCCCTTGTAAAGCTATGAGTGGATACTATTTATAGGCACCTCATGATGTAGAATGGTGCCCATGTAGAAGGCACATGGGAAGTATTCTCTCTAACCACTTTGTCCGAGGAGATAATCTCTCTGAGGATGAGAAAAATCCCAAACCTCTCGGCGGACCCTTCTTCCTAGCTACGCCTAACCAATAATCCCCAATCATCCCAAAGGGTCAGGGGAATTGAAAAGCTCAGTTCACACTTCTCCTTAAAATCCAAGTGTTAAAGAGAGGGAAACTAGGATCTTATAACCAGCACAGATGGGGAAACTCCAAGTGATGTAAGACACATTCCAACACACCCTCCTGAACCACAACAAACAATAACCGGACAAACGGCACACCAATCACAGGCTCAACTAAGCTCTTATACTAAGTTGAAAAATCAAGCCCACACCTCTCTTTAAAATCCAAGTATTAAGGAGGGAAAAACTAGAGCCTTATAACCAGCACAGATGGGGCAACTCCAGGCAATATGCGACACATTCCAACACACCCTCCTAGACCACAACATACAATAGCCAGATAAACGACACACCAATCATAGGCCCAACCAAGCTCTGGTACCAAATTGAAAAATCCAACCCATACTTCTTCTTAAAACCCAAGTGTTAAGGAGAGGGAAACTAGAGCCTTATAACCATCACAGATAGGGCAACTCCAGGCGATATAGGACACATTCCAACAAGGGGTAGTTCTAGAGGATGCCCTGCCGCAAATATTATCGAGTCTCAGGGACCCCTTAGAATAGATCGTGCCACCTCGACTTGGGTATAGGCTAGGTTAACCGAAGAGTGAATTTATTTCCACTCATTGTCCTCGGGGATCGGGTGTTCGGACTTCGACACGCTCATGGTTCTGATGCGTAAATCTCGAAAAGCTTCGAGTCCGCAAGTGTTATGGGACTCATTAACAAAGTGACTTCTAGATTGTGTTTGAATCCGTTCGAAGCCAAACGCTTCAAATCTCTAGGTTCGTAGATCCAAACCTTTTTGAGCTCGAGCTCAAATAGATCTCCATGTTCGTGGATTCGAACCCTTTCGAGATTAGAGCTATCTGGCCCATTCAATGATGATATCTCTGGGCCCACTAATTTTATGCTTTCTGACTGAGCTCCAATGGGGCTTAATCAATTAGATAGGCTCGAGTTAACCCCTCTTACACAAGTTAATATATTATAATTATTGGCTTGCAAATACTGTTGTCAATTTATTGCGTTTGCCTAAGCCACTCAATTTTTATTTGTCTGCTATAATAAAGAACTTAAGAAATCATTATTCATGATATTGCATTAAAAATTCTACAAGGCTTCCCTTGTATTTACCATAACAACATGATTATTCTCTATTAAATTATATTCACATGTAGAAATTACTATCTTTTCTTTTATCCCAAAGAATTGTATAGATCATTGTGCGAGAATGTACAGGTCCCTAAACAAGCAAAAAGAAAACAATATAGATTGGAAGTAGAGAATTACATAAGAAAAAGGCAAAGGGACTTGTATAATCAACATGGAAAAAATGTCGTTGAGGGGATAAAGAAAAACTTCACCAATTCCAGGCATATAAAATTCTGTTTCACTCAATAATATCAAGGCACAGTAACCAAGCACCAATTAAAAGTATTTCCCTTATAAGTTAGTAGCCAATTGCAGACAATAAAAGTTGTGAAAAAGTAAACTGTATTTACCTATATTTGTCATATTTGTCACTACAACTCAATTGAGGGATTACCACAGGTCCACCCCACCCCCCTTCCACAAAAAAGTGATTATGGAAAAATTAAGAACAAAGCATCTTATAGGGGGACATTAAGACAATATGTATATGTATAACACATCCAAGGCACCCCAAGCCCAATCATTCATCTTTAACATATGAGATTTTAATAGAAAGGAAAATCAGTAATTATGATCCCCAAAAAAGGGTTAATTTACATGGAGAACATGGACATCTCCCTCAGCTATCACTGATTATGACTTTGCCATTTCAACTTCAAAACCAAACAATTAGATCCCTCACCTATGAAAAACCATGCAAATAACCCATTTTGAAAGAGGGAAATTGATGTGATTGTATAGTTGAGGGGATCAAATGTAAGATTTTGATGTTGAGAGGAGTAAAATGCTGATTGTTAAGGGAGTGTTAGTGCATGATAAAATAAAAAAGAAATTACAGAAATTTGTGAGTGGATAAAACTGTTCAAATTCATTGCAACCCTCCATAACAAAACAATGATGACAACAAGAACAATAAAAAAGAGAGCTAAAACAATAACTCCTCTCCAATTATTGATCAAATTCAAACCTTTCTTTAATTGCACAAGGTGAGTTTTTTTAATTAACAATCACTAAAAAGCCATAAGAAGATGTGGGTAAAGCAAACCAATATGAAGAAACACACCTTTAACAGGATCTAAGCTTGAAAAGCAACAGATATGAAGAAAACCCAGATAAGAATAATAAATACTCACCTCTTGTGTGCTATAAGTGCAGTAGAAGACGTGTGTAGAGAGAAAAATGGAATGGTCCATTGTTGACTAGAAGATAGCAGTTGGGAATGATAATAATAATAATAATAAAAGCAGAGTTGAAGGGATAGAAGAGTTGTCAAATTAGAACTAGGAAGACCAGGAGGAAGAAGTCCGATGAAAGAAAAGCGGAATAATGAAAATGAAAAATTATAGTACACAGTGAAAAAAAAATTATAAGAGTAAATTATAAATATTTTTTTTAAATTTAATTAAAATACGAATCGTTTTTTTTAAATTTTAGAAATTATATTTCATTTGAGGTTTCTAATTTCATAACAAATCGCAATTTTTATTAATAAATCATCAAATCAATTAACAATTTTTAATGATGTTAAAAATATGTTTCAATTAATAGTTTAGGTAATTTTATTATTGCATAAAAGAATAATTATGAATTTCATTTTTTTAGTTAATTCCGTTAAAAAAAATTCTAATAAAGAAATATTTATAATTTTTCAAATCACATAAAGTAATTTATATTTTAAATAAATCTTAAGAACTCTACTCATAATTGATCCGAATTATAAAAATGTGTGAGGTGAAAATAATTTTGTAATAGGTGCAATTGAAATGTTGTCGTGGGGTACCCCTTTTATGTTTGCATAAAAGAAAAGTTTAGGAGTATTCTTATTTAATTCTAAAAGTTAATATATTAAGAAATAATTAATTAATAATTAAATATTTTTAATTATTAATTAATTATCTTTTAAATACTGTGTGACTTCTATATTATTTTTCAAAATTTTAATTCCCCTAATGAAAATGATGGCTACAACCGAGTAACGGTGGGTCCCATATTCCTACAGCTCAAACAACGATGGTAGGACGGCAAAAATTATTAACCGTGGGTCCCATATCCACTCTGAGTCACGGTGGGGAGAAGTTTTTTATTTTTATTTTTTGAGCAGAAGGAGAAGTTTTTTATTGGTCTTGGGATATTACTGCGTACTACTCTAACGGTATTATGATCAGTAGAGTGCGTAGAATTTATAAATTTATATTAAATGATTAAAAAATATTAAGAAAATATGGTCAGATTATATTTAAAATATAATTAGTATGCATATGACCATCAATACCGTAAAAATTAGTATTGAGGATGAATAATTTGACGGTGATGACAGTAAAATGAAATTATAAAGTTATAAAAATGTAGGTAAATTTATTTATAACTCTTATCTTGAAAAATAGTGATTTATTTAAAAAAAAATTATAGACCAATTAATTCGTTAATTTTAAAAAAATAGATTTAATATATTATTTAAAAATTAAATTTATGATTATATCCTTATTTCTATTATATTTTCTTGATCTTTTTTTTTTTTTTTTTTCTTTTGTGCTAGAAAGTGTACACAATTTATGAAAATCAAATCTTGAATGAATTTTTATATAAGAATCTTTATTATTTGGAAAATATTTTAAAAGGAGTATAAAAATGACTTGAAATATGAGATTTTTCAAACATTTACAAAAATTCATTAATAAGTTTTGCACAAATGTACAATTTCAAACTGTAACACTCAAAAAAAATTATGAATATATTTTTTTCCAAATGTAACACTCCACAAATACTCCTTAGTGTAACACTTTATGTAACACATAAAAAAAATCATCAGTGTACTTTTTTCAAACATAATACTCTAATATAACATTCTCAAAAAAAAGATGTGAGATTTTTTAAATCATTTCAAAAGGAGTACAAAAATTTCTTAGTAAGTTTTAAGCAAATGTATAATTTTAAACTGTGAGTATTACGTTTAGAAAAAATGCACTAAGGAATTTTTTGTGTGTTACATTGGAGTGTGTTATATTGGAGTGCTACATTTAGGATTACATTGATTGGAGTATTATGTTTGGGAAGAATATACTAAGGAGTTTTTTTTTTTGTATGTTATATTGGAGTGTTACGTTTGAAAAAAGTACGCTAAGAATTTTTTTATATATATTATATTGAATACTACGTTTAAGAAAAATACATTAAGATTTTTTTTTTGTATATTATATTGGAATACTACGTTTAAGAAAAATACACTAAGAATTTTTTTTTAAGTGTTATATTATTATGTTTGGAAAAAGTATACCAAATTTTTTTTTTAGTATGTTACATTGGAGTGTTATATTAGAGTATTACAATTTTTTTTTTTCATAATGTGAGATTTGTTTCAGAAGGAGAGAAAATTTAAAATTTCTACAGTGCAGATTCCCCAAATGTATAATTTTATATTTAGAAAAACTCACTTTTATTCTTAAAAAAATTAAACTTAAACTTGTAAGTAACTATCATTTTGTATAATTTTTACTTTAATGAGACATTCGGGTTTATAAGAAAAAAAAATAAAAGACTAAACAGTTCACAAGATCATATTTTGAGATTTATTAGCGTTGCACCCAAAATGTAAATTAATTTATTTATTCAAGTATATAATTTTTTTCATTGTTTTGTAAAAAAAAAATTGGATTGTTACACTGTATTGTTATTTTTTTAAAATTAAATCAAAGAAATATTTTATTTAAGAAAATAGGATTATAAACTTGATGATTAAATTTAACATGTAAAATGAATTTGTAAAAATTAAAAGTTGAGAGATTTGAAAAAACAAAATTGAATTTAGGATATAATTGCTCATGTACCTAACATAGAAATATTTTAGAAAAACTCAAAATATATACACATTTAGTTATTAACTTTGTAATACACTTTCGGTTACTATTTTTGTGTCATTAGTTATGACTTTTTATATTATTAGTTATAATCCATTATGATATTGGTTATGATTCAATAATTATTTGGTTTTATCTCATGTGATGTTTGGTTATAACTCAATTTTTTTTGGAATGATTTATATGTCATTTGTGATAATTAAATTCACAAATGATATAACTTACATATAATACCGCATTACTCAACAAGAAGAAATACTTATTTTACAATAGCTTAGACTTTTTAATTAAAATAATAAAAAAGATAAAAATAAAGCACACCTCGAAAGTGAATGTTTGATATTGCCCTGTTTAGAAATTTGGTTATTTTTGTTATTTATTTATTTGTTTTTGATTATTTGACTATTTTAACTTGATTAAAAAAGTTATATTTGGGATAAAAATTGATTTTTTTTAATAGTTGATTTGATGGTTGTGAGAAAAAAAAATGAAATAATTATGATTTGAATATAATATTTTATCTTATTAACTATTTTAATTTATTTTATTTTTATTAACTATTTTAACTAAAATAGCCACAAATCCAATTACCCAAACAGCCCCATTAGCCTTTTTTTGTCAAAAAAAAAAAAAAAAAAAACTTTACACTCTTACCTTCCACTCAATTAGCCGAATTGGATTTTTTTTTTTTTTTTTTTTTTATGTTTGATTGAAAACTTTTTTGCACTTCCTAAGATTCATCAACATAAGATGAATTTGAAAGATAAAACTTTTTGACATAATTTTGGGGAAAAAAAAATCACTCAAGACAAAGAAGGGTTACAATTACCGGATAAATTTATTTATTTTTCCGTGAATATTATACACCGAGAATATTATAAAATAAATAGTTCAGATTATTGAAACGGGATCCTTGATGGGTCTTACAAAGCCCTCAAACTCTTTTAAATTGAGATACAAACTTGAGAGAAACTTGACAAATTTTATTATACTTTAATTTATGACGATTATAAGTAGAAAATTTATTATTTAGTCATTGATAAACAATTTATTGGACAATACTCAATGCAATTATTACAAAATATATAATGTTATTAATAAAAGATTTTTTTCACAAAATAAGATATATGTAAGATAAAATATATATCACACATGTAATAATTCTGACATGTAAAACTTATTCTATCTATGAATCTTAAAAAAAAAAAAAAAAAAAAAAACCTTTTTTTTTTCACCTTAAAAAAAAAAACCTTATTCTATCTCACATTTTATTATATTATGTAAAAATTCGCTTATGAGACTCATCTACACTTAGATTTATCCTTTCATAAAATATAAAATTATACACCTCAATTATTGATATAAACACGTGCATCGGGAAGTAGCAGATGAAATGGGTAATGCGATGGCATTCATTGACCACAATTCAATGGTTGGATAAGAAAGTCAAACACAAAGAATACATAGGTCTGTTTGGTAGAACTGTGAGAAAGTGCTTATAACTTATATCTTAACAGCTTATAACTTATAACTATGAACATAAGCTGATTTCTGACTTATAAATTAAGCTTCTTCTACCCCACTCAAAGAATAAGTTGATTTCTGACTTACAAAAAGCTATAAGCTGCATTGTTAAGCTAAACCAAGCACATCAAAATAGCTTAAATTAAGCTAAAAGCTGAAATAAGCTGAAAAAAAGCTGTACCAAACAGGGCCATAGAAAGAAAGAAATTTTATACTTTTTATTATTTTTTAGACCAAGGAGTTTGTTTCTTTTCAACTTACTAGTTGGCCCCACAAGCAGTTTCAATATAAATATTTTTAAAATTATGTTTGATTTATAAATTTAAAAAGTGAAATGTAGGTATATTTTATATTTAATTTGTCTACTTTCTATTTTTCTCTTTGTGAATTTCTTTTCAAATTAATAGAAATATGAATGTAATTATGTGTCATATCAGATGTAAATATATCTTCATATTTGTAATAAAAAAATATTTTTTTGATAACCAAGTCGACAAAACTATAGAGAAGAGCACTATATTCATTTACTAATAGAAAAATAATTCAT